TGTGTGTGTGTGTTAAAGGAGAGAATGGGGAGAATTAAAGGAGTGTTAAAGGAGAGAATATGTAAAAAGTAAAGCATTCCAATGTACCTGCAGTCATGTTTGTGTAAATGACAAAAGAGAGCCAGCAGTTAGGTGAAGTGGCGCCTCTTAATTGCCCGTGCGTCTGATGTGCTCTGTGATGGACTGGCATCCCATTCAGCTTCACCTACCTTGTCAATATGACTTCAAGTTCTCTCTGACCCTGAACTGAATAAGCAGTCGGGCTGGATTTTGTTTTGGCTTAACAAAGCATATTTTTGAGTGTTCGTAATTGCTGTTGCAGGGTAATAACATACTGGCACATTATCTTGACTTAAAAACAACTTGATTACGCATGTTTTCTCCCATGACGACCTTTGGTGTTGCCTTGCTACTGAAATGGCTGCTAAATAGCTCTTTACTTCTCCTGGTATGCATCTTCCTCATTCATCTTCCTTATTCATCTTCCTCTAGTTCGGTTTTGTCTCTCATCTTCCTCTGCCTCAAGTTTTATGTGGGTTCTCTCTGTCCATCTCTGTCTCCTTTTGCTTTGAAGATATAAATCGCCTTTGCTTCTGTTCTTGCCAAAATAATAAAAGCCCTGTCACCATCCCCGGGGGCCTCAGAATACCCCATTCTATATAGCTGAGTCTCCCTGTTCCATTTCTCCTTAAATCTCTGCAATCAACTTTTTCCTGTCTGGTGTGAAGGTGCCTCTCCTAATGCACTCAGAAAGAGAACGATCCACAGCACATTTTCAGAAGTTGGGCCTGCATGGCTACAGAAGGACCTCATACCAAAAAAAAGAACCTTCAGAAGCCTTTTTTGTTTTAGTTTGGTGATTTAATGTGCTGCGCTCTGGAAAGCTTATGTAGGGATTTCAAAGGGATTGCCCAGCTCCTTTAGTTCATTGCATTCAGTAAGAAAGGAGCAGAAATATGTCACTGGGAGACAACAGCAGATTCTATTATCACAGAATTTACCTGAGAGGAAATATCGTTTCACAGAGTGAGTGATTCCACGGGGTCAGGGGCCTGATTTAGAAGATGATACTGTCAGCACTAACTTGTATGAGCATCTTACTGGGAAATCAGTACATTTGTATTTTTTGCATTTTGTAAGTGGGACTTACTGATGACAAGTGTAATTCTGTAGCCTGAATGCCCTGTCTCAGCTGATTATTTTGTCACTGTCCATCATTGTTTAATCGATCAATGGACTTTTCATCCAAAGCTAACTCTGTGTGAATTATTCCAGGCTGGTTACATTGCATTTGAAACTTTTAAGCTCGGCATACTACAACCTCCCCTCCCCCCATTCGTTTTCATACTTTAATTCTAACCTAATGTCTAGGGGCAGCGGGGTGGCGAGTGACCATGGGTCCATCTTCATTTGAAGGGCTTGCTGTGGTCACTCAGAATGTCATTAAGAGCCCAAAACGTATTCAGCCAACTCAAAGCTCTGAGCTGCTCCAATGACAACTTCCAGAAGCAGCCTGTAGGGGGTGCCATCAAGCCTCTCCTGAGGGGGGGAGGGGATTCATGTGATGGTCTCTGTGTGGCTACCTGTGCTGCCATGTGGCCTGAATGAGCGCATTTCTTCCACTGGCTAATTCACAAGACGTGCGACATGCTGGGTAATTGTCAGTGTTAATGTCAGTGTCGTGATATCAGGGCTGTAGGCCTCCTGCCTTTGAGACGTCCACTATGCCGTCACTCTGCACTCCTGCACGTAGATGCTCTGCAACGGGCAGCTAATACCACAGGAGCTAGAGTCCGGGCCGTGACCCGCGGCAGAGTCGCCATCGCCGGCACACAGAACCCAGCCCATCACGCTGGGCCAAGAACAGAAGTTGCTGGAAAGTTCCTCACAGTCTCCTGAGTAACACTCACCTGGAGCAGGTATGATGTCAGCGATGCAGGAGTCAGCAGCTCATGCACTAATGCGCTGGAGCTTGACATCAGAAGAATAACACAGGAAGGACTGTGATAAGACCGAAACAGCTACCACAGCCTTGGGCGGGGGGGGGGGGGGGTTCCTGCGCAGGGCTGAGGAGATGTGGGCATTCTAGCGATGCAGTGGCACTCAGAGGATTCTGGGTAGAACATCCAATCAGGCGTGCAAAACAAGATGCAGTGCTATGCCATGTATTGGGAATAAAAGCTGACAGTTTTGGGGCTTCGTTACCTGCCCTGCCTTCACCCCACGCCAGCCAGTCACGCCCAGCCCCCGCAACCCTGCCCCCCCCTGCCTCTCCCCTTTTCCACGGGTGCGTTCCTGCTTCCTGCTTCCTGACATTCCTTCCTGGGGCCCTGGGCATCATTTCGGGCTCCTGTCTGCATGCACTCCGTCTGACCCTTACCCCATTCTTCATGGGGCAGGGGGGGTCTAAACAAGGGCTATTTTAAGCACACTGAGTTAACCCCTCCCATACTTTGCTCTCTTTAAAAAAAAAACAACCTATTTGTGAGTCATTCTTTCTCACTGAGCTGACAGACCAGTATGGGACAGATTTGGGGGGGGGGTGTCAGGAAGGGCAAATCACCCATTGAGGCTCTGTTTGGGGCGCTGACATCCATCCTTGGTATGCTACACTCTAGCACAAATTTTGCAGTGTGATTCGCAAACTGTTGCCCTGTTCTAATAAGGCAGGGGTCTGGGAAGGAACCCCCCAGCACAGAGTGGGCAATGGGGGGGCAGCGAGATGGTGCTGGTGATTCATGGGAGAAAAATGAGGCTGTCTAGACTTCGTCACGTAGCCCTGGGGGCATTAGGGTGCCAAGTGGTTTGATCTGGGGTCAGAACAACAGCTGTCAGATACAGAGGTTAAAAAGGCCTTTTGCTGGGAATGCTTGCGGCGTTTGGGCATAATCGAAATACGGGAAATAATGAGTTTTTTTGTAGGTCAGGAGGTCTGAGGGGAAGCCTTCATAGCTTGAGAGGATCACCAGTGTTTGTGCCCAACGTTCAATTCAGTTCAACTCAGTTTATTTTTATATAGTGCCTCACACCAGAGTTCCCCGAAGGCACTTGATAAGAGTGTGCAGTGTACAGCAATCCATTGTTGCATCTTTTTTACAAAATGACGCGTGGCACAGGGAAGGAAGATGTGTAAAGAACAAGGGAAGGAAAGAATGCCAGAAAACAGAGGAGAGGAACCAAAAACTCATAACTTCATAACACAGCTTGTGCGCCTCTTCTGGCATCTCCAAACGCCTCCGGGTTCCAAAAAGGACTTCCCAGCTTGGTCACCTGACGGAGAGCTGGGCCTTTGCTTAACACTCAGCTGGGCAGCGTTAATCCGTCACGTGATGGGGGTGGGGTGCTCACCAGTTGGCCGATGCTATAGACCTGCAGATTAATGGGGTGGTGGCGGATGAGGGCACTTCACCGGGAGGATTCTGGGAAGGTTCCAGGAAAACATTGGAAGGATTGAAGGCATCACCGTGAGTGTATCACAATTTAATTTATGTGCTGTGTTAAGCAGAACTTTGCTGGACATGGATCGTAATTCCCAGGACCACTTCATTTCTAGGATTTACCGAAGCCCAACCAGGATCTTTTTGCTTATTCCGTGTGTGATTTTTTTTGTGATTGTTTTGGCTTTTCCGGGCAGTGAGCTTTAGTCCTGCCTCTCTGTCTGGTTTTAAGCGGTCAGCCCCCGTCGTTGCAGCAAGCACAGCAGCGCTCAGTGGAAAACCTTGGTTCCGGGGATTCGGGTCACGTCTTTACCTGCACTATGCTTAGAATTTCTGTATTTTTCTATGCCGTGCTTTTCAGCTTTTCGCAATTTCAATTCACTTATGCCATGATGCAGAATCACTGCGTAGAAGTGAGCCAACACCTTAAATTCGAGCATTTCAGCATTTTTTTTTTGAGTGTTTCAGAGTGTTCCTTTGCATGCCAAAACATTTCATGCAAAGTGTGGCAGTCATGGATGTGGCAGCGTGATATTTGGGGGGGGGCGGGGGGCGGTTATGGGCCAAAGACGGGGCGTGGATTATTTCTGGGAGTTGATAGTGTGTTCCAGAACGTTCAGTCCAATAGAACCTGAGTCACGTTGAAATGTCACCCTAGGGAAGATAGGGAATCCCCATGGGGAAAAGCAGAGTGACAAATAAAGGGAGCCTGTCACTGTCCCTGTCACTTCATGTCCCGTCCTGTCATTCTTGTTGTCAGGGACTCGTTATGCATTGCGATGGATTGCGGAGTCTGAATGATGCCAGACGTCAGTGCTGATAGAGCCTCTCACTTATGCTGACAAGTACACTCTGACACTGCCGTAACCGGGACCTGGCCAAGGCTGAGCGGCTGCTATGAGCTCGGCCACCACAAGGGGGCCCCCGTCAGCCTATTGCCTGTATAAAACAGGGATACCTGTTTTCATTGCCTTCTGTTCCACTGAAATAAAGCAAAAATACCTTGACCGTTTGTCAGATTCGAGGCTCGAGTCTACAGGGATGAGAGTCAGTGCCAGCTATGCCTACTTATGGTATAGTAAAACTAATTTTTGGGGGAAAACAAAAAATTTGCAGATATCAGCACAGGGAAAACTAAAGGTTCGAATTAGACACTGTAGATGGAAAGACGGCTGTTTTGCCACTGAAACACATGGGGATGGGTAGTGTACTGCAGCCAGCCAGTAGGGGGCGCTTGACCTGTGGTGGCTTCACTTTTTCGATATCTTACAGTGTCTGTGTTTCTTTACAGTTGATGGATCAACCTGCCAGAGTTGAAAGGGAGATAACAAATGACAATTAGGTTAATCAAATTTTGTTTATGGTACCATAAAGAGTTGGACCGACCCTGCTCATGGCCTGACCTATCCCCCTCCATGTTCCCTCATTTCCAGGATTGTGGTGCCTGGGCGCTTTGGCGCCCTCTGCTGGCAGATGTTGGATTTACATGTGCAGTGAAGTAACAGGTGCTGGCCTGGGTATCAGGTTTCTGAGAAAGCTTTCATGTTGTTCTCATTTTCACAGGGCCTCCAGCCTTCCTGCTGCTATCGCTCCAGCCAAGGTACGTGGCTCTTCTCCTGTTACCATAAACCTGAATACATTTTATCGGGTGGGATTACATACGGATGGAATGACAGATACTGATTAAGTAATCAGTGAAATATTCAGCCGCTGTTACATCCATTACGCTCAATAGTAAATGTGGTACTGGAATGTAAGATGGAGTCACAGGGCCTACAGCGGGAGAAGAATGCTCTTTATGGCAGGAATGTTGGCATGGAAACACAGAGTGACATCACTAGGTCTCTACAGAATGACGTCACACTGTGGCAACACTGCACTGTGTGTTGGTGGAAGTGTTGCATGCTAGGACTACAGTTAATGTCTGACTGCAGGTGCTGATGTTTGTCGCTCTTCTCCCACGATGCATTGCCATTAACCATAGCAGTGTCAACACGTTACCCAGCACGTGTCCTTGCCAGCCGGAAGTGACAGCATTGCATGTGTGTATGAGGTCCCTGCATGTGTTTACCCCCCCCATGTAGGATGAGCCCCTGGAGCTTGTTAAACCTGTGCCCATCACCCGACCGGCTCCACCCAGCTGTATGCCCACCAACTCCGCCCCCTGCGCCGCCCACAATAAAACTGCTCGTCCCTTCGGGGGCGGTGGCAGCACCAACGGCGCCATCTTGGCGCCAGCCGCCTATGTGGCTTCTATTCCCTCTGCATCTTCCGCCTTCACCCCTGCCTCGGCTACTCAGGGACCTCCCCCCCAGCCTCCATTCCGGACTGGCTCCGCCTCCTCCTCCTCCTCCTCCTCCTCCCCCTTGCACGTGTCCCCTGGCTCACCTGCCAGGGTGACAGTGCCCTGTTCCGCCCCGGTGCCGCCACAGCCCTCCGTCTACAACACCCCCATCAACCTCTACTCCAACGAGAATGCCTGCGAGGTGGCCATGGGCCAAAGACGGGGCCTGCTGGAGAGCCAGGGCGGAGCCATGCAGCACAATGGGTAGGTGTCATTCTCCCTGCCCCCTGGTTGTGACCACACCCCCTGGCTGTGACCCTGCCCCCCCCCACATTGCTTCCTTCTCACCTGACCTGCCGGCACCGTCCATCAGCCCAGGTATGTTTCCTGCCTTGCGGTACCACTGCAGACCGGGACACGTCCTCCTGGCTGGCATTCATCTCTCCAGAAACAGAACCTTTATTGCAGTCCAAAAGGCTGTCTGGCAGCCCATAATAATCTCACGCGAAGAATAAGACCCAGACAGTGTGAACATGCAGCATGGCGCTGGTTCCCCTCTGCGATGTCTGACATTCTGCTGGGCCGCCAAGGTGCTGAGTCCATGCGTTCATGCATCGCATTTCTCAGTAAGAGGTTGCTGCACTAGTGATTTTCTGGATGGTGCATTTGTGGAGGCTGACGGTTTGGCAGCACTGAAGACCCACACTGTCTTGGATGGCATCCCACCAGGAAGGAGAGAGAAGCTAGCAAGCAACAGCGCTACAGACCTCATGTGGTGGGGGGGTGGGGGGAGGTGGAGCCTGTCGACCATGGCCCCCACCTGCCAGACCCCCCCCCCCTTCCATGTTTTTGGGGACAGGGAGCCTGACACATGAGGCACCATTGACACAGAACCAGTCAGAACTGGACTGGACTCAGAATGGGTCCCTGTGGCACCCAGCCAATCTGGTCAGCTCCCTGTGTCCTTGCCGTACCTTGGAGCCCTGCTGCTGGGGCCGGCAGCTCCTGCCTGCGGCCTGTGAGGTTCTGGCACTATTCATGTGCGGGTCTCGGTCCGTCGGGGCCCTTTCTCCATGTCGTGGGGTTCCTGCCTCCGCATTACATGACTAATGCTCTTCGCAGACGTTTGCCTCTTGGTTTTACGGTCATTTCTAGTCGTGCACACGTACGGCATTAAATTTATATCCAGCAGATGGCGCTTCCAGTGCCGAGATGCTGCTTGGGGTGCATGTGGGTGAATTTATTGTGCCTTGGGGTTAAGGATAAGGTCTAAGCCGGCCCTGCAGTTCATCTGCCACACTGCAATATAAATCGGTAATATTAGCGGAGGATCGGAACCTTATGAACATCGGAATGAAGGAGTTTTCTGGTCTTATTTATGTTTCTGTGTGACTTCCCCCTTCGAAGTCCGGTGAGCGGTCGGGTCGGCCCAGGTGATGAGATCCTCCTGGTAGCACTTTGTCGTGTCCACTGCATTCCATTCTGCTGTCAGACGTGGAAACCTCTGTCCCCTATATCCTGCCATTGTTAATATAATATCTTGCAGCTGTTGGAATGCAGACATGAACTGTAAAATCCAACCATATGCTCTCTCTCACACACACACACACACACACACACACACACACACACGAAAGTCACATACACACATGGTGTCTGTCTCTATCCCATAGCACAGGGACACCTCCGGGACTCGTTTTTTGTACATTTTTAATAAAATATTCGCAGTCAGGAATAACAGATTTGATAAGTGGTGAAGCACACATCCTCTCTGCTTCACTGACTTCCGCTAGCGACGTCCTAAATTAGACACTGTAGCCTCGTTGGCCTCGCCGACCTTTCAGGATATGAAGGGCTGCCAGGTTCACAGAACCTCTAGATACAAAGTCAGAGCTACAGCCTCCTGGTTCCGTCTCTCCCGAGTTTTCAGCTCCCCCCCCCGTCTCCCCTTTGGACCCTTTAATGGCACGTAACCAGGAGTGCAAACAGTATTACTTTCTCTTCCAATCCCGCCTGCTCTTTGAAATGCTGTAATGGGGGGCACGGGGGGGAGGGGTCTCTGTGAGTGTCCCTCCCTGCTTCTGAAGATGCCGGAGGAAACAGCTGTCGTGCCCGTGAAAGGCATCTCCTGTGTGCTGTAAGCCAAAGACCATCTGCATGTAGGAGAACACGAGGAACCGGACCCAGTTCCCCTCGGTACGGGACGCTCCTGCTTTCAGCCGGTCTGCTGAAAGCACCTCATTAACCCAGTTTTTAGAAAGGCAGGCTGTAATTTACACTTTATGAACGCTGGCGGACAGCATTTCTCAGTGGTACAGCAACGGCGGCTGTCCTGCTTTCAGACCAGCAGCCTGCTGAGGGAGGGTTGTAAACTGAAGAGCTGCCACGGTGCGGCGCCCGCGGGTTTGTGGCGCTGGGGAGGGGCCCAGCCTTGGCGTGAGCTGGCATGCGTGTGCTGTCTGAGCCTGCAGTTTCCTCGGGGCCTGCATGGGTGGTCCGAGCCATGGGTCTGTGATTTCCTGACTGACCTGTGCTCCTCTCCCTCTTCTCTCTCTTTCTGTCACTCTCTCATTTTCTTTCGTCCCCTTGCTTCTCAAAGGTCTACACTCCAATGACAAAGTCAGTGGCCGTGAAGTTTGTTGTGACGTGTACTGTAACACGTGTGTGGTCGCCCTAATACACATGCGAGTGATGCGCACAAGGGGGCGCTCCACAGCTTTGAGAGGCAAGACTGGAGATGGAGATTGGCTCATTGGCTGTCATGGGTCACATGGGCTGCTTGGTCACAATAATAGTAGCAGATAGTTCCTGATTCTGTCTGAATGCTTGTGCAGTTATTGAGAGACTGAATGCGCTTAGTGAATGAGATTGTGTGATCATTAGTATGAAATTGCGTGTTTTTGTTTGTTGAGTTATGCACGAGTGTGTGTGTGATTGTGTCTTTGTTTGAGAGGGTATGCTTATGTATGTTTGTGTAGAGCCTGTATGTTTATACTGAGTGTTTGTGTATGTAACATTATTTGTAGTGAGTCTATGAGTGTCTTAAATTGTGCTTGCGTTGAGTCTGTTTGTGATTGTGTTTGTGTTGAGTCTGTTTTTGTTGAGTCTATGTTAGAGTATGTTTGATTCTATATCTGTGTTGAATCTATTTTAGGATGAGATTATGTTTGCAGTGAGTCTGTGGGTATGAGATTGTGCTTGAGTGCCTGTGCATATGAATTTGTGTGAGAGCACGTGTTTTTTAAAAGTTATGAACACAGCCTGTCAACACATCCCGTCTGCTTCTCCACACCTCTGCCTCAAGACGGGTGTTTTGTCATTAAATGCTCGTAATGATCTCCAGAACGACAAAGCCAGCTTAGATGTACCTCACACCAACGTCTATGAAAGCTGGTATTCATGGAGCCTGGATTTTAACAAAGCTGTAGCGCCCCCTGGTGATGAGAGGTCAGAATTTCAGTTTACAAACTTCACTGAGGTGTGATGCCCTCTCTTTTACTTGATCCACGTTGTCCTTGCAGCTTGGCATCCAAGATTAAAAGCTTTGGTTGTTTTTTTTTTGTACTTCCTGTGAACACCTAACGGCTTTGTTGTGGCTCGTCAATTGTTTTTTCTTTTTTGTCCTGCATGCTGTGCTGCGTCTTACACCTGCTTTTTCATTCCTCTTCATCCTTCATCTCTTGTTTTTGTCTTCTCTAGTGGACCCCAGAGCATTCTGAAGTGAGTATTGCCCCTGAACTTTTCTTTCTGCTATCTCAGGTCACTCACACGCCACTAACAATGCCGTTTATCCCCCTTCTGACTTTCACGCTCTGTCTCTCTTTGTGTCTCTGCCATCGCTCTCGGCCATCAGGAAAACTCCTCCAAGGTAAAACCAACTTTCCTTCTGCTGAATGCTTCTACTGAAAACATCTACTGTAGATTTATGCTATAAAATCCCACGAAACGGCTACTGTTTCATCACCTGCCATTCAGCATCAAAGCTGAACATTAATAAAACTCAAGAAAGTGTGAACATGCAAAGCAAAGACTCATCAGCACTCAACAAACACACACAGACGCCAGAGAAATGAACCAACATGTATGTGGTTCAGTAAAAATACAAAAAAAAAATAACTCAACATGTGACCTCCTAGGATTATACAGTTAAAGGGATAGTTAGATGCCGGAGTGACAAGAAGTGCAATGATATCCAGGTGTGATTTTTTCTGGCCATACCCTTTAAAAAAACACTAAGCTTTCAATATCAAAGTCTGGTCTTCACTGCAAAGGTTTGTGAATACATACCATGTGTCGATCAAAGGAGATTTCTGACAACCACAGAAAAAGAGTTGCTGATCTACATCAGGCTGGAAAAGGTCACAAAACGACATCTGAAGACTTTCGGCCTTACCAGTCCATTGTCAGGCAGATGATGTACCATTGGAGAAAATTCAGTACCACTGTTACTAGAACAATGTTCTGAGTGTGAATTGGGATTTTTAACTTCATATTTATGTTCGGCGAGGAACAAATTCTGCTGCTCTCCTGCATTAGAACCTCATCCCGACTGTGAAGCACAGTGGTAGCACTACAGTGTCAGAGAAAAGCGTAAAGCCTTGGTAGAGTTTTGTACTTCACAAATGTTCCTCGGAGTCCATTTCTATACCCTAAATGGTACATTTATCTACAACTAGGGGACAGCAGGCAGACCCTTGAGGGTATAGCCCAGTGACAGGAATTGTACCCTGGATGGTACAAACTGGTACTTTTTTTCTGACAATGTATCACGGTTTGGGGCTGTTTTGAAGCCTTGGGACCAGGGTGGTTTAACATCAGTGAGAGAACTGTCAGCGTGCCAGCAAATTCTACAGGGGTGAGGCAGGGCGTCTGCTCAGGAACACAAGTCAGTCCACCACAGGATGGTTTAAGTGGCAGAAATTTTCCATTTTGCAGCGAGTCAAAGTCCAGAACTTAATCCAATATAAATGTTGTGGCAGGACCTGAAGTGTGGAGAAAAGAAGGCTCACCGAAGGGGTTTCTCTAAGAAGAAATGGATCTAAATTGCTCATAGCTGATGTGTGTGTCTGATCAGCAGTTCCCGTAAATGTTGGGCTGAAGTCACTGTTGTTCCGAGGGCGTGGTCACATCCTTTGTCCAATAAAGACTTTCAGTGTTGGTTCATTTTGATGAGTAGGTGAATGAACAATACAACATTTTATGCGGACCTGAAGATCCAGCAACATTTTATGTTAGACTTTGACAGATATTTAGACAATTCTAAAGGGTTTGCAAACTTTCTAGCACCCTGTAGAGCACAGCCTGGTCCGTGATCTCCTGGCTTTCTCGTCGCTGTGTAGGAGGGTGTCATGGTGGGACAGACACGCCATGGGTTGTCAATCTTTAGTCATTCAGCCAACTGGCTGCATAGTGATTAGTGGGGTAGAATCATCATATTGTTGATGTAGCGTGTTGTAGTTGTGATGGCGTGATGCTAGCGCTCTGATACTGTCGCGTTACAGCTCATGATGTGCCTGACCCTGCAGGGTGCCCCGGAAACACGTCACGGACACGGACATCCAGTTCTACCACGTCCCGTCCCACAGCGATGCCAGTAAGAAACGGCTGATGGAAGATACGGAGGACTGGAGGCCTCGAACCGGCACCTCCCAGTCCCGCTCATTCCGCATCCTGGCCCAGATCACTGGAACCGAGCACGGTATGTTCTGCCTATCATTGCCCAGCCACCAATCAAACTCTGCCCCATCCTGCCCATCATTGCCCACCCACCAATCACATTCTGCCCAGTCCGTCCCATCATTGCTCATTAGGCCTATTATTGCCCATTCAAAGATCATGCTCGGTGTAGTTCATTATCAATTTTTTGAGCCTTACATCATCTGAATGTTGTAACATATCTGTAATTATACTGTGTAATGTCTCTGTTTTAGAACAACCACAGCAGAAAGAAGTAGGAAAAAAGACAAAGTAAGTAAATGACTTTAAAAATCTTGATGACTCACCACTTGCCTTGCATTGAAGTGTCCTTGTGATGTCACACAACACTTGGTCCTGTGAGCATTCTGGGGGTGCCACACTGCTGGGGACATGCGCCTGGTGCCCTCGAAAGCTACCAAACCTTGTGCTGTACTGGGGGAATGTGCTCTAGTGAACAACAGCAGAGTCACTGCAAGTCAGAGTCAGAGTCTGCACATTCATCAAATAAGCATCGAGGGTGGATTTGAGCTGTTGACATTTGGGGGTGGTTCATGCTCAGTGCACTTTATTGGGCAATATCAGAGACTATGGTGGGGCTTGAGAGCCTCTGTACGGCCAGTCAGTGCCTGATTTCACTGTCTGTAAATGTAGTGAAGCAGCCATTGGGGGGTGAGTTGAAATAGTGATTGATAGCGACGATCCTGTCTACCATGACTAATCAGCATGTAGGATGGTCTGTATAGAGAACAATTGACTGGACACCATGTGCAGGTTTTACAGCTTCATGTAACTCTCATTATGAAGGCATGTCTGGGAGGTATGACTCATGGAGCATGAAACACAGATGTCTGTATTCATCTCATTATGGGGACAGTGTCCAGTTTAAACAGCAGCCACACAGGGATGAAAGATTATGAGGAGACAAAAATCCTGGTCCCCATTGTATGTGTGTGTGCGTGTGTGTGTGTACTCATGTGCATGTGTACATGTGCGCACGTGTGTGTGTGTGTGTGTGTGTGTGCTAATGTGTGTGTGCATGTGTCTGTGTGTGTGAGCATAAGCTCGAGGTGCATGTGTGATCCTCTGCTTCTCCAGATGTGGCATCGGCGTGGCCATTCACCCTATCCTCTTCCTCCTTTTCTGTTTTCCCTTCCATTCTCCCTTTCCTTTCTTCCTCTCCTCCTTCCTCCACCCCCCCTTGCTTCGCTGGGCACCAGGGTGACCAAGGTGAACTCCCAGGTCATCGGACCCAAGTACACCAAGCTCCGGGATTGGCACCACGATGTCTCAGCACGCGTCCTCAATGTCCAGTAGTGCCCGCTTGCCCGTCCTCCATCACCCACTGCCAACTGTAGTCATGCCCTCCCCCATGTTCCCCCTCCCCCGTCTCTCTCATACCTGTACTCCTATTTTTCTCTCTCTCTTTTATTCCTAACGTAGCAGGAGAAACGGTTTGACGTTTGTACACACATTATCTTGACATAACGTGGCACATTTCCCCTTGGAGGTCTGTCATCCCCCGTGCCGTAAATCACATGGACGAGTGTATTATCCCCGAGGAGGCGCAACAAAAGGCAGTAAAACAAATAAACACCCGGGCGGGCGAGCTTTCTGAAGGGACGAAGCTGCGCTCCGCCCGCCCCCGCCCGCTGCCGCCCCCGCCCGCTGTGCTAATTACAGGGTGTCTCCCTTAATATGTCTGTCACTCATTTCCCTTGTAAGAACACCGTCTGTTAAAGCTGTTTACAATGACGGTCAGGAGAACAAAGCAGCCTTCACAGCTTAGCCACAGCTAAAAAGGAGAAGGCAAAAAGAGCAAACTGGCGGTAGCTGGGCTTATTTTGGTACTGTGGCAGTGTGTGGAGGGCTGCTTGTAAATGCATCATTCTGCTAGTGCTGTACGATTGTTAGAGATGTAACAGGAATGTCATGGAGGTGACAGCTGTGCTTGTTCCGGTCAAGCATTGACATCTTTCGGAAAGGATACCATAACACATCAACTAACAAATACCAAAATATATAGGTTTATTGATTTTTTTTCCCCCTCTCATAATTCATGGTACTCCATATAACCCAAAACCTGAGGAGGTTCACATCTGAGATGGAAAGTTCCGGTCCAAAAAGTACAAATTCAGACCAAGATTTTGGTCAATCAACCAGCCAAGTATAAAGAGTCACATTCACAGAATACTCAGCTGGTTGGTTGAAACAAAATCTTGGTCTGGATTTGTACTTTTTGGACCTGAACTTTCCTCCTGTAGAACAGGGGTTTTCAAAGTCTGGACCACAGTCCACATGCTGACTGAACCACAAGTTAATCCGGAGCCAATCAATAATAAGTTGCACCTTGTGAATCAATATGGTTAACGTAAAAAGACTTAAAAAGTACAAAAAGACTGTGTAGAACCACCAAACTTAATAAGCAGACACATAACTCCCATGACAGAGAGTCGAAACAACCAGGGACCGTTAAAAAGTTCCCATTTCTGATACATATTGATGTCTATATTGAAAGTTATTGTTAATCCATTAAAGTTCATGAAATGCTGTTTTGTTATTGAAAATTGTCCCGAAAATTTGATATGGACCTTTGATCAAAAAGTTTGAGAAGCCCTGACATATGGCTAGCATTAGCCCAAGAGTCTTAATGAAGCTGAACACGTCCTATGAAAGCCCAGACAGTTTCAGTCATCACAGACACACAGACCGACCTTGCGTTCAAACGTTTCTGATGACTGCTACAGGTGATACGATGACAATGGCTGATGCAGATGATGATTAGTCAGAGCCAGCTCCACCTTTTCAGGGGTCCAAGGCAAAGCTTTACTTGGGAGGCCCCCCTACCAGGAAAACTTATGATCATTTCACTTCCTCCACAATGCAGGAAATTTAGGAGCCCTACGCCCTAGACACGACTCTGATCATGGCTCTGATTGTGGGAATCCGTGCTCTCCCCATGCAAAGCCAGGTGGGCGGGACATTGTTCAGGTGACACTGTTGAGTGACATGGGTGGGATGAAGTTAAGGGGTGGAGTTTGGTGAATGTGAGGTATAAAGATGGGAGAGTAGAGTGCATTAGAAAGATGCTTGGGATTGGAACCACGCACATACTGGAAAACACTGGAGAACTAGAGATGAGAAGGTATGGCACTGGACCTGCACAGTGGAAGGTGACAGGATGTCTCACACACACACTGCCGAGGACTGAGAGATAAGCGGAGAGGGTGTGGCTATCACAGAGGGTGGGGCTATCACAGAGGGCGGGGCTACGACTGGTGATTTCTGAATTGGAGCCTTGGTACGTTTGACTTTGCTAATTTGTTTCAAGCTGCCCCTCCATCCTCCAGGCTTTATGTTTGCACCTTTTAGTTAATGCTAATGGCTAATCAGGCTGAATTTTAGCAGTTCGGTAATGTAATCTGTAATGTGCTCGTTTCAATAAAGTGGTCTCTGTCTCACATTTGCTCCTTTTCTTCCTGATTTTTTTTCTGCTGTTCTGTTATCCATCTGTACTTCCTTCCTCATTCACTGATTCTCCTGGGAAGATTAGACAGGGAATATTCAGGTCAGGTCCATGCACATGCTGTGAGCCTCCTATCCCTTCTGTCCGTCACTGCACTCCATGTCACATGTGCTGCGAGAATCTGCTCTCTGGTAATCTGAGCTGCTGAGCCAATGAGCTCGCTCAGCCATGCTCCTGACCAGCAGCTTTCTGATTGGCTATGGATGAGAGTAGGTCCTGATATGGCAGGGTTTGTTCTACCCAGAAATTCAACAAAGGAATTTCACTGCTTATAAATCTGTTGTTTTCTGTCACATGATCCCCAAGGTCCCCCTCCCTAGCTGCAGTCACCTCTGGCACTGTCAGGGTTGGTGTCGTATTAATCTTCACAAGCATTCCTGCCATGCTTTCCAGCCTGCTCTGTCATTCCCAGTACCACCCTTAGGGGGCACAAACAAGTTCAGTTGTTCCAGACGAAGGATTACAACTGAAACATAAGCCTGAGAGCTGCCTTTAAGGTAGATGTATCACTGTCAATCTGCAGTCACTAGGGGGCGCTTTAGAGTAAGAAATAAACCAGAACCGGGAGGGGGGTCTTGAATATTCTTCACTCTGAGCATAAACTCTTTCATAAATCAGATGATGATGTTGACATTTTGTCGATTTACGATATGTCTCTGTGGGCTTCCTGCTGCAAGCCCCTGTTCTGGGGTCCAGAAGGGGTCTGGATCCAGGGGTCTGAGGGTCTGGGGGGGTGAATGCCTGGGAATAGCCTCTGGTCTTCCTACAATGGGTTGGCTCTCCTGGAATGATCTGGAAGAGGTAGCAGCCAACCAATACCAGGCTGCCTCTCCTCCACTGCGGATGCTAGACTCTGCCCCTACTGCACCCCTGCCTTGGCACATAGACTGCCCTCTTCCAGCTGGACATCTGCAGTAGCTGCTGCGGAGACGGCAGGCAGTGAGAGGCAGAGAGACCTTCCAGTGTGATCTGAACTTGTCCTGCCATAGCACACGGAGCCATTTCTGTCCGTCCAGATGCTGACAGCGGGAGTTCTCAGGGCAGTAGTGCATTTCAGAGCGTGAACGACGCTGTGAACTTTCTACCAGATGTCCCGTGCATTTGATCACGGCACGTGATCACTGGCGGGATCATCGTAAAGCAGAGCTCTGTCCTTGGCACATGGATCGCCCCCCAGCGATAACACTGCCACCCAGTACTGTTGCGTTGGATCTCCATTTATTCCTCTTATGGTTCATGATATCTGAGATAGGAATACTCCAATATAAAAAGAGTGGAACACTGATAAGGATAATGGAACACGATGCAGATCTATGCCGGCCTATGAATCAGACTCTAACACTGAAAGTGCAGAACTGAGTCTCTTTGACGGCACTGAAAATTAAATAAAAACACACCAGACACTGATACTTCATATTTTATGACTGTGATCCATGAATCACACTGACTACAGCAGTGGCTGTAACAGTCCGGATTCCCTCTGCACCTCACTGATACTGTGGTTGCCAGACAAAAGCCCTTCATTGATTTGTAGCTCATCAGACTGGTCGTGCTGTATTTTGTCCACATTGCCACTAGATGGCATCAAACCCTTGTACGATCTGCACATCAACACACGCTCTTCCAAGCACAACTGTACAGTACTGAGGTGTAATTTAAGGGCCGTCTTATTAGTTGACAAGAACTGGCGTTCTAAACAATTACTTGAGGTCACATGATATTTTCACGCATTGCTCTGAAGGATTCTGCCTACCTTTACCTGTTTTTTATATTCACTGACCTGTTTTAGCCCTGCTTTTACTTGCTTGACTTCCCTCTGCTTTTCTCCTCTACACAACAGGCCTGTGACTCTGCGGGACTCCTAGCCACGCCCCTTCTGAGGTCACAGCCATGCCTCACCTAGCCACGCCCCTTCTGAGGTCACACCCATGCCTCACCTAGCCACGCCCCTTCTGAGGTCACACCCATGCCTCTAGCCTTTGGCCCAAAGGCCCTCTAGGCGCATGTGTCCAGTGAGGCACATGCTGGCTGGTGATCAAAGCAAAGCACAAAATACCATGGTTTAATTTCCATGTTACATTCACGTCCATGTTAAATTATATCTAAATTACCCCTCTCCTGTCATGGCCTCTTTTCTACCGAGCCTTTTGCTCTCAGTACCCTAATCTGAAGTTACCCCCCAGAGGAGCTTCCAGAATGGGGTGATTGCTTGTCGGAGATGCAGGAGGAGAAGGTCACCTGTGTGTCATTCTACGTGATTATTTTTATTGTTGACTAAGGCTGAATCCTCCTGTAGCTCAACAAGTAGCGCATCGTGTTAACAACGTAAAGGTTGTGTGTTCAAATCCATATGTAGCCTTTATCCTCTCATATAAGACATCTAGACTGGCGGCTAAAACAGAAGTGCCTCTCCCCCCCCCCAGGGGCTGTAGGAATGTCACCGGTCCTCCAGTGGGTTCACTAGTGCAGCAGTGGGCAGGGCCACAGCGAGCGTGACAAATCCGCTGTCCCTCTCTATGCACACGGGGCTGCCACTGAGCTGTGCCGTCATGGCAACGGCAAAGTTATGTCTCCATGACGGCGCGGCGTGCCAGCCATCCCGCTAAAATAAGCTGGCGGGAGTGGCGGTCTGGCCGAGTTCAAACGGCGCCGTATCTCAGCCGGGGGGGGGGGGGACACGCAGGAGGGCTGCCTTTGATCGAGGGGCAGCTGTGATACAGCCGTGTGTGTGATGGGCCGATGGCGCGCCCTGGTGGAGAGCAGCTGGCACACGCAGCTAACACCCGCCTCCCTTGGGCCTCTGTGATGTGGGTGTGGTTTCTGGGATCGGTTCTGGAACCTGTTTCTGGGTCGTCCTCGCTGCCACTTTCCACTCCCTTGTGCAAGGCCCTGATCTGCTCGGCCTCCTGTTGGCCTGTTTTGGCTAGATACTCTGTCGCTCGCTCTGGCTAAAACCTGCCGTGGTCCTTCATGCTGTCTGAACCGAACTGGGAACGTGTGATTCCCATGGCAGACCCACGGGTGGCGCTGACGTGTGATTCTTAGCCGCGGAGAATGTTCAGCTGTGAGTGGGAGTGCGGGGTCCAAGTAGAAGATTCTGTGGTTCTGCTGCTGAACCTTCACGTGGGTCTAGCTCTGTACTCGGTCCTGGCAGAAAATTCCCTGCTTTCTGTGCTGATTCTGGGGCCTGTAAAGCAGTCAGTCTCCTGCGAGTGGATCGGGGGCTAAATCAGCGCTTCCTGTGAATGCCCCCCCGCCCCCCCCCCAGCACTGGCTTGATTGAGAACTTCCTGTTAGAGACGCTCCCTCCCAGACCCTTAATGGACATCTGGGCCGGGATGGGTGGCGCTGGCATGCCGGGCTCATTGGATCAGCCCCCACAGTGCCGTTCATCAGGGATGGACCTTAATGCCATCGGCTGGGCCTCTAATTGGGCTGATCGGCTCTTCCTGACAGACGGCCTGGTAATTGGGCATGATGGGGCTGTCGATGGGGCCGCGTCTGGTTCCCGTCAGGGCGACGAAATGGCGGCACTGCTGGACGCCGGGGGGTGGGGGGCACAACTTGGCGCACGTCTGTCTGTCTCTGCGTCCTCCACGTGCGCCGATTCCCACCTCGGCTTCCCCCAGAAGGAGTCGCCTGTGTGCTGGACAGCAGCCCCCACCGACTTACATCCTGCCTCTTTCATCCGCTCCTGCCCCCACCCTCTCATTCCCTCCCTCCCCATGTAGTGTGACTTGGCACCAGCCGGCCGCTACCCTAACCGGCCCCCATCTCCCCTCTCCTGTCAGTGCTGTCTATATCCTTAGGTAACTGGTTTCTGTCTCTGGGCTCTGGGAATGGCTGGGGGGGGAGGGGGGGTTAGTGTCTGGGCAGGTTTTTCACGGTGGGTTATCACACACCGGCGGCCTGGAGCACGTCCCCTGGTGCAGAGCCAGACACACAGGCCCTGAATCCAACACAAAGCCTGCTTCATCGCCACGGTACCCGTTGCCATAACAAACCTGCCTCCAGGGGCGATTGCCAGGCACGGGTGGGGAGGGAGCGACACCGAGCCGTTGGCACGGGCGGGGATTGTGGGTAGTGGTGGTTGAAGCGGTAGCCCACCCAATGCGTTAGATGCTAAAAGCTGGCTTGTGTTGCACACCAAACACATGGCGGGTTTTTTTTCATTTTTCATTTGTTAAAAAAAAGGATTCAGCAAGCTGTGGATTGACTGGGAAAGAGATTAGTGTCCTGATCCCTGTGTGTGTGTGTCTACATATGTCTGACACCTGTGTGTTTGGCTCCTGTGCTGCTCTGAACTGACCATACATGGGTGTGTATTCTGTGTAAATATTTGTGTATGTATCTGGGTTTTGTGTGTGTGTGTGTGTGTGAATATGCGTGTCTACATTACACACTGTACCCTTCGGCATCAGTTAAACCCGATCGAATGCTTATCTCAGAGCCGTTCAGGCTCACTCCTGAGCTTTTGCGAAGGCCATGTCACATGCGCAGGGCCTGTTCAGCTTCAGCCGGAAAAATTGTGAAGATGGCCACGGATGGGGACTGTGGGGGGGGGGGGGGGGGGGGGGGGGGGGCGGGGGGCAAACAGGCTGTCTGGGCTTTTCAGGTCTCGTTGGCTTTGATGACCTAGATGGTGTGAAGCGATTCAGCAACATGGCAGATGTCTTGTTCACCTTGCGTCACACATCGCCCCCTGTCGTCTGTTTCGCTGAACGCGCATGTTTACATCCTGTTTCTTTCCTCAGTGAGGTGGAGGAGGCCCCATCCTGCACCCAAGTCACCTCTGCTGTGACGACCATGACCAAGACCCCCGCTGCCGGCCCTCAAACTACCAAGCAGGCTGGTGGTTCTTCAGGTACAATATACTCCTGAAACCCTCTGTCTTTCAACACAACCCACCCACCCCCTGTAATTTGTGGAAAACACTGTAAATCAATGGTTATTACATGTAGGCACATTTGGGTTTTATTTAGTTTAGTACTTCATTAACCATATTTGAGTGAATGAATCATATGATAATTCAGACCATGCCAGAGCAAATATCATGGTTTCTTCAGGAATATCCATGATGACCTGAAGATCTGAAAACAGGTGTTAGCACTAACGTTTGTTTTATTTGATCAGATGGTTCAGTACATGGACAAAACGGAATAAATTATCATCAGGGCTAATTTGGTTTAAGCACTCCTTTAAGATGAATTGAAATGATGAAAATTGAATCATTGAGTAATGAGAATGGAAGAGGAGGCTTTGCTTTTCTGAGCCTCTGTAATGAAAGTGAAGAATGAGTTTTGTCACACTCTTATTTCTTTCTGTGATTAGAAAAGTGTGACCCAGTCACTGAGCATTCAGTCTGGAGGAACAAGGAGACCACCAAAACCAAAAGATGTATAAACAGTGCAGTTTCGAGTCCAAATCCACTGCTATGACCTCTGCCTTAGGACACTTTGTCACTGGGCATCTCCTACAGGATTATCTTCTCTTTTAGGGCCTTCTGTTATAGGACATTCTTCTGTAGAACCTTCACCTGTAGGAATTTATTTTGTAGAACCTTTTCCTGTAAGACTTATTTTCTTCTGTAGAACTTTTTTCTGTAAAAATTATTTTTTTCTGTACAACCTTCTGCTGTAGGACTTACTTCTGTACAACCTTCTGCTGTAGGACTTACTTCTGTACAACCTTCTGCTGTATGACTTACTTCTGTAGAACCTTCTGCTGTAGGACTTACTTCTGTAGAACCTTCTGCTGTAGGACTTACTTCTGTAGAACCTTCTGCTGTAGGACTTACTTCTGTAGAATGCCCTGTTTTTTAATATACTTCTGTTGGACCTGCTGTGATGTGGTTTCTGTGTCCTTGTCTGGCTTTGTCACAGCACTGACTCTTCTCCAGACTAGCCATGACACTGAAGTGCTTTGGTTCACTGAATCCTTTAAAACGTCCAGCTCTTTCTCTCCTTGCATCTGACTAAGAAGCCCATTAACCAAGCTTCTCTAAATTTGTGCCTTGAAATAAACTGAGAGCCCATGATGACCCCCAGGGCCAATCAGGTGGCTGTACTCTGTCCCCACCTGCCCACCAGATTTTGGTGTCTAGTTTGAAGTTAAACTGTTTTTGCAAATGTCTGAATCTCAGAAGCCTGACAGTACTCTAAAGATCATGGCCTTTCCTCATGAATCATCAGGGACTGTCAGTCTTGCATTTTATCTTTCAGGAAACACAGTGCAAAATTAATCACACATGCTTTAAAGAAATGACATTTGCTCCCGAATCTGTAGCATTGTCTTTGAGTCGAGTGAAATCACAGGAGAGGCCTTTATGCAGTGGGGGCTATTTTTGGTTCTGGGCCCCTTTGTACTGAGCTACAGCAGGACCGAAAATCGGGTCCGGATACAAATGGACCCAGGCTGGCCCCTGGGGGTGTCGATGGTTCCCATGGGTATCTTAGCACCTCGAAGTCATTGGACCAAACAGAGGGGAGTTTGACCCAAGCCAGCCGACCCACAAGCAGTAAAATCCCACACGCGTGTGCCAGTGGCTGAGCTAAAGCAGTTTGTTTAAGGCTGTGTTACACGCGTGAATGTGTGCCATTCATTTTACTTGGACATTTGCACCAGCAGGCTGTTAATGGTGGATACTGATCTTGGGGCTGCGTATGCCCGGCTATTTTGGGCTTTCGCGCTGAACGACACATTCACCGCTGCATCAGGCCGTTTTTTTTTTGTTTTTTTTTTAATTTTGTCCAACAAACCCATTTTGTTTCGGAGTGTATGGAAAATGTTAGCGCTAGAGGGAGCGGTGTGCTAGTTAGCAGGGTGCTGTGGGATGCAGCTTTGCATAGGCGAACAGGGAGGGGGCTACATGAGCAGGAGGACCCCCCCCCAATGCTGACATCCAGACACGGTCTGGCCCCAATGCTTGTGGGGGGCACCTGATCAGTGATATTTTTGTTTATGTGTGTGTGGGACTGAGCACTGGTGTACGCATGCACATGTACTGGGAGACTGTTATTCTTGCTCAGGCCCTGTGTTTTTCTAGCCTTGCCCACGATGGCCCCTTGGGGGCCCCGGTGAGCCAGCTGACAGGGGGACAAACAAAGGCGTGCTTGAGCTGGCCAGGTGGGCGGGCTGCGGCAGGTGTAACAGTCTACAGTGAAGGAGGAGAGGGGCGGGGCAACAGGGATGGGGTTGCAGGAGGAAAGAGAGGGACAGACAGAGAGAGGGAAAACAGGGAGAGCGACTGCCTTCCAGAAAAGCAGGTGGTCATGTTGTAGGGAGGGAATGTGATTTTGCTCATGAGCACAGAATTGTGGGTAAAACGTGTTTCTGACCCGTTCATTCTTGCTCTTGAGCCTTCGGAATGACGATCTGTGACAGATCCTTCTGAAGGTTGGAGAGTGGCGTGTTGGCCACCATGGAGTCAACATTTGATTTGTCACCTGCCCTGTCTATGTGAGAGAGGCATGTTGTGAGAAGCCCCCGTTTTTGTCAGCTGTCCCGCCAGTCACGTTTCTCTGACACGCACCAGTCACTGTTGCTGGAAAGCAACCCGACACCCCCGCCCCACCTCTGCAATTGCATGGTGAAAAACGGCAGCACTGTCCCGCCTATGTCCCTGTGACTGTGTCTCCGCCGGCTCCCTGGCCCTGTGGCCTGGATGGGACCCCTCTTTGCTCCGCCCACTTCCTGGTAGCTGGGTGGGCCCCACGCAGCTGTTCTTACTGCTCCCAGTTCAGAATGACCCCTGCCTCCACATTCTGTGAACTTCTTGTTTTCCTCCAAATCCCCTAAAGAATGTGCGTCCCCCCTCGCCTAGAGGTCGTGACCCCTGACCTCGTTGTACCTGCTGCTGGCTGTCAGCTCCGGCACTGCTGGGGGAGGAGAGAGTGTACTGTGACCGTGCTGCCAGCCAGCACCCGCAACGCTGCCAGGCATATTTGCTTGGTGGTAACAGAGACGTCCCTCAAAACTGGCAGACAGATTGGGGACACCTGTTGTTCTTCTCAAGTGACTTCTGTTGTACCTTTATTTTAATTAATTAATTAATTAATTAGATTGGTCAACAGGCAGCAGTTTCCGAAGGTCCAGTTTAAAAACTGTGACCCTTGTGGCCTGCAGATAATGTGACATTGGGTTTTGGATTGACATATCTACGGGCGCTTGTTAACTCTCAGTGATCCTTTTTCACTGACTCTCATCGACCTTTTCTAATTGAATCATTGACTTTTTTACTGTCACTTTCACTGTCTATCACTGATGCTTTTAAATTGACTCTTTTACTAATTCTCACTGATCCTTTTTCCACTGCCTTTATTTACTCTTTTATTAACTGTCATGGACTGTCTTTCATTGACTCTCCTTGACTCTTTTACTAACTTTCATTGAGTCTTGCACCGACTTTTATTGACTTTTTGACTGTCACTAACTTGAACTGACTCTCATTAACTCTTTGACTGTCACTGACTCTTGAACTGACTCTCATTGACTCTTTGACTGTCACTGACTCTTGCACTGACTCTCATTGACTCCTTGACTATCACTGACTCTTGCACTGACTCTGCCTGACCTTATTCTCTCTTCTCCAAAGGTCCAGCTTATCCCAAGGCTGGCATGCAGGTGGGCCACGTGACCCCAAAGGGACCAGGCCCAGCACGGCCTGTCCCCCAGCCTCACCCCAAAGATGAGGACTCCCTGGTGCAGCGTGCTGAGCATATTCCAGCTGGCACTCGCACACCCATGTGCGCCCACTGCGATACGGTCATCAGGTGAGCTGGCCCTGTGGGACCATGTGCCGGTAAACGTCAGAGAACTGAGCCACCACAGTGACTTAATAACTCATAAACTCATTTAGGGGCAGCATGTGGCTCAGTGGGCTAAACCTGTGTGCCTGTAATCAGAAGGTCACCAGTTCAAACCCAGCTTCAGCACATCTGCAGGTCCTTGAGCAAGGCCCTTAACCCCCAGCTCCCTGGGCGTCCCAACAGGTGGCTGCCCTTCACAGCCAGCTAACTCTACAAAGAGCAAGTTGGGGGAGGCATAAAGACAGTTTCCCCATGGGGATCAATAAAGAATCTATTATCATTATTATTAAATAATTCCTGCTTCTCACTTTGGGGTTTTGGACGGTCCGTTTATGTGTTGGAGATTTCTCAATGGGGACTGAAAAGGGTCGATATCGAAACGGATAGCATGGCAACGTCGTGCCTGTATAGCTGGCCTTTCCAGTGCCTTCCTGGGGCAGGTAGGGGGGGCACAGATAAGGGCTGCACACACGGGCTGGTGTAGGGTTCATATTTTAATTTCCAGAGGCCGATACTGCTGATAACTGTAATGTGACAGTCGAACGGAAGGTCAGGCCAGCTCTCTCTCCGTGTAATTACAGCTCGGGCCCCCCGCCACATCCTTATTGGCCAGTAGCTGAGCCGGATCGGGTGTCGCTGGCTCATTATTGGGCGGCAGCTAAGACCAGGGTCAGGTTTCGCTGGCTCATTATTGGCCGTTAGCTAAGACTGGGTCACATGTCGCCCCCACGGGGAGCCAGGTTCCCGCAAGCTCAGCAGAGTGTCTGCGGTGGAGCACTGTAGAGCCGCTATTGTCCACGGTGGATGTGACCTATTTGTTTTGCCACTTAAGCTAATTACACAATTTGTAACCTAGGCCTGTGTGTGTGTGTGTGCGTGTGTGTGTGTGTGTGTGTGTGTGTGCGTGCGTGCGCGCGCGTGTGTGTGCTCTGCAGCCTCTTCACTTGTGGCTGACTGTACAAACACATGCACACATTAGTCACATTATACATATACACCTACACACACATTCACACCCACCAACCACCCCGCTGGGCCTGGGACAAAATTACTTCAACCAACCCCCCATGATGCACAACCCCTCCCACCTGGAGCCCCCGCTCCATTTGTCCCGCCGAGACTGCCCCCCAACGCACATACGCATGTGTGTTTGTACATATACACAGATACTCACACAATGGCTCCCGCCCCCCCCCCCCTACATAGATGGCCTCGCTCACTCATTGGTAAATTGCCATGCGTATGTGTGCCTGCCCAGGGGCCCCTTCCTGGTCGCCATGGGGAAGTCATGGCACCCCGAGGAATTCAACTGCGCCCACTGCGGCACCTCGCTGGCGTACCTGGGCTTCGTGGAGGAGCTGGCCTCTGTGTACTGTGAACACTGCTACGAGGAGTTCCTCGCCCCCACCTGCGCACGCTGCCAGCACAAGATCCTGGGGGTGAGAATGGCAAGGTCCTGTGGAACGGCCCAAAAGCTGGGGGGAGACTGAGAGGGGGAAAAGATAAAAGAGAGGGAGGAGAGAGAGAGAAAGCGAGAGAGAGAGAGATGGATGTACAGAGAGGGACTGAAAGAGAGAGAGAGAGATACAGAGAAACTGTAGGGGTGAGATGGAAAGAGAAAAGAGATAAAGATACTGAGAGAGAGAGAGAGAAAGTTAAGAGGTACTGAAAGACTGAAAGAGACTGAAAGAGAGAAATTTTGCATTTTAAAAGCCATTATTGGGAAAAATCAATTAGCTGTGTTTTACTAAGCAACCTAAAACAAAAAAGACCAGATTTAAAAATAAAAATACCTAATATTTTTTAATAGAAAATATTAAAAAGTTAAAAGATAATGAGATACACAGGGGGGATGAAAGAGTAAAGCCAGAGAAAGTGAGAGATGCAAGGAAACTCAGAGAGATTGAAGGAGAGAGAAAAAGAAATTGGGAACTTGAACTGAAATGAGTATCGCTGTGAGATATTCGGTGAGTATCGCTGTGAGATGTTCGGTGAGTATCGCTGTGAGATGTTCGGTGAGTATCGCTGTGAGATACCCTGTGAAAATCGCAGCCTAAACCAAACAGGGGGGGGTGGATAGGGAGCAGAAAGATATTGCCCCATCTTGGGAAATGTGCCTGTCCGAAGACCCAGTACTTTAGTGGGATCACACAAAGATTCCAGTTCACCATTCCTTATGTCTTCCATTTCCTAGCCCCTGCCCCCACCTTGACACACACAGACCCCTCCCCACCCCAGCTCTTGTATCATCTTTATACTTCTTGGCACTCAGCTGTGGGAAACCAGTATACAGCCATAATTCCTGTCATGCAGACCATATTGGGACATGTAGCTGGCCAATGACGTCAAATACTGTCAACAGCTTCCTGTATGTGCAGCATGATCCCTGGAGGTGCTGTAGAGGTCTCAGGGTGGTGCTCACTTTACTGTACCTCCATGCAAATCCCCTTGAGGAGCATCACAGTGCTTCCATCACCGTGTAACCCACTGGCACAATTCACACCCCGAACAGGAAGTCATCAACGCCCTGAAGCAAGCCTGGCACGTGCACTGCTTCCTGTGTGCCTCCTGCCAGCAGCCCATCCGCAACAACACCTTCCACCTGGAGGACGGGGAGCCGTACTGCGAGGCAGGTGAGGTCCGTCCGTGGGCTGACCTGAGATCAGTGGCATCCCGTCGAGGTCCCGGATACTGCACATGTCTGGCTTGAGCGTGGCTAGGTGGATGAGTTAGCGTGGTTTAGTGCTCCCAGTCTGCTGTTTCCGTTTCCAGACTACTACAGCCTGTTTGGGACTAGCTGCCGGGGCTGCGAGTTTCCAATTGAGGCGGGCGACCGCTTCCTGGAGGCGATGGGCTTCATGTGGCACGACACCTGCTTCGTGTGTGCGGTACGTCAGCCACCACTGTGTACGTGCGTATCAGATATATTCCTACTACTTCCCTGTTCATCTTGCCTATTTCTGTTTGTCAGGTATGCTCCACGTGCCTGCAGGGCCAGGCGTTTTACTCCAAGAAGGACAAGCCTCTCTGTAAGAAGCATGCCCACAGCATCAACATGTGAAGCAACGCAGGATCTGGGAGGCGGGCTGAAGAAGATGCAACCCCATCCGGTTGGCCCAATATATGCTTCATCCAGACTCTGATTGGCCAAATATATGCTTCATCGACTGTCTCTGATTGGCCGAATGTATGCTTCATCCAGACTCCGATTCCGCTCGACTCTGCATAACCTGTTTATCAGAATTTCTTAGTCTCTGAGGTTTACTCCACATTCCCGTGCTTTTTGTACACGCTGTTAAGTTAATGGAAAGTGGGACTGTCCCAAGATTGTGGCATTACAGGGTTCTCTGTGTCCCGAAGGGCACGCTCAGAACCATTTTACTTCACGTCTAATTAGCATCGTAAAACCCGTCCTTCATAAAATTCCTTGTGTTTCGCCTTTTGAGGGAAAAAAACTTGCCTTATTCAGTCACTTTCTGAAAGAGACATCGTTAGCCTCCAGATTACACTGGTGGCGGGGGGGGGGCATTTATTAAAATTTTTGTGGTCTTGGCTGGGCCGCCACGCCACGCCGTTCCTGGACGGAGGAGGGTGACGGTAACGGGGCGGCGGAGAAGGGCGGCTTTGTGTCGCCGCGGTGAAAAGCACCGCCATTGTTCCCCTTTTTTGTGAGAAACCTTCAAAGCTCGGAGACGGGGGGCGGAGCCGCGTTCCATCTCCGGGGTGAGCGTCGAAGAATGGCGAGAGCGGGGGGAACTGGGAAAGGAAGGGTCACGGACGGGGGAAGGAGGGAGACAGGGTTTGTACCGCTGTGGCGAAGTGCTGGAGCCAAACCGGTAAATGTGGGTCCTTCCCCGGAGCTGTGGTCCGCTGCCTGCCATTGGGGACACAGACGGCCGCAAAGCCACAGCACCAGCAGCTTTGAAGCGGCTGTTTGGGCCGTTTGTTTGACCGTGACGAACGTTTTATAACAATGCGCATTACACGCATCAAGATCGAATGGGGCGTCTGATATCAGGCGTGCGGAGACGGTCTGATGGGTGCCGGGCCTTTGGGCTTGGCCCAACTCCTCTGCCAAGATGTTAAAAGAGAAAGCTATACAGAATCAGACCATTTGATCGGCTATCAAACATCTCCAGCCTACTTCTGCCCTTTTTAAATTCATTTAGCGTCCTTCATGCTTGCCAGGACTGTGACAGCTTCACAGGCTGATTTGGACCAAATGAGACAGGGCACTGGAACAGGTGTGCCAGCCTTACAAGAAGGAAAAACAACACAAGACGACCCCCCCCCCCAAACGCCCTGGTGGTTGTGAGAGAAAAAAACATCTAGGGGGTCCTAGACAAACAGGCACCCCCACCCCTCCAATGCATGTTAACTCTTATGAAATGGGCATTTACCACCAGATATTGCAATTTTTGACTCCCCCGAAACACTGGTGAAATGCTGACTAGCACACAGCTAAAGTGGACCGATGATTCATTTTTCAGGAGGGTTTAAGAACAGCCACCCACTGCAGAGGATTACAGGGAGGCCAAAGAGAATTTTAAAGCCTTTTTCTGTGCCAGGGTTATTAACTTCCTGATGACCGCAACTCGCTTTACGTTGGATGTTTTTGGTGCAAAACTAATCTGGGAATAAACATTAAACAGTTAAATTATGGTGTAGGTGCCGGGTACGTCCTGTGTTTTAGTATGTGAAGAGTCGCAATGTTTCAGCTTTCGTTTGCATTTTAAAAATAAAGGTTTTTATTGGTCTTTCACCTCTGGTTTCCAGTTAAGTTGTGTATTCCCTGTACAGCCCCACCCCCACCTCTTGATTTGCTTGCACTTTGAGGGGCTGCGATGTTCAGATTTGAATGCACACACATCCTCCACTGAGCCATGGGGAATCTGTTGCTGCTTGCAACCTGTATGAGGTGCTTGTGCTCTGGACCCGCACCCTGGACTTCATCTCTGTTCTAGTCAAACACAAACACAGCTTCTCCTCCTTGTCTGCGGAGGTTGTGGATGTGCTGAGGATTCTGGATAATTTGCCACACTGGCAGATAGGACAGGACAGACGAAGCAAAGCTCCTCAACAGAGAACAGGAACGACCTTGAGTCAAACATCGCAGTTCCCTGTGCAGGTTAGCTGAAAGGATGCCAAAACTCAAAACGGTATACTTTTGGCCTCCATTTCCTAGCATGGGTAACACTGTGCCCCTGTCTGTGAGGAGGTTTCAGAGATTATTTGGTCACTGCCCATCCACCGAGGCAAAGAGTTGCGAACGCTGAGCCTGAAAGCGTCCACATCAACCCCAAATCTGGATTCCCTGTTTACAGCTGTCCACAGATCTGTACAGTTTGGTTTGCTTAAATAAATCATTGATGAAATGATCCACGACCAGTCCTATAACGCCTGATCCTTTTTATGTGTGGGTTTGTTGTCAGCAAAGGGCCGCATTGTATCATAAGATGCATTTTATTCATCCCAAACACGAATAAGACCCTGGCAGTGAAGGTCCGCAGTGCGCCGGATTCAATGCGAATGTTCTGTGTGGGATTCAGAGGACAAAAGCAAGATTTTAAAAGGGGAACAACCACAGAAAAGGTGCAGAGGAGTGAGGAGGCCTGGGCTGATATTTCAATTAGCAGGTTCTGTGTGGGATGGAAAGGACAAAAGCGAGATTTTAAAAGGGGAGCCACTGCAGAAAAAGCTCAGGGGAGGAGTGAGCAGGGCTGCACTGCTATTTGAGGATTTGTGTTTTATTTGAGTGGCTTAAAAGGTCTCAAGGCGATGGGCTGCCAACTCCTCCGTACCAGCTGGGTCTGACAAGTCCCTAGGTTACGAATACCATGGGTGCGTTTGAGGGAGCAAGGGGATGCGTGGTCTACAGGCTGGGAAAATCTCCCCCCGCCCGCCCCAGCATGACGCATAGTGTATTAAGCTTTTCCTGAAATGCACGCTGGGTTTTGCCAGCCGCTCTGTGGAATGTGTGGCGTGCTGTCATCGCTGTGTCATGTGTCACGGCGCGATATGCGAGGACGTACATACAGGATGGTGGCCACACGCGTCGTGTCGCTATCGGTGTAGCGGTGACAGAAGAGGGCTCGTCCGCTAATCTTCCTTTTGTCTCGTGTCAACATCATACAAAGGATCCAGACACCCCCCCCCCATAACCTAAATGACCTTTTTCTGTGACTGATATTTTTGTCACAGTTTTTCCGAATTGCTAACACACATTTCCTACAATCTCCTCTCCTTTTCTCAAGGCACTGAGCACAAACCCTAACATTCAAGCTACACTCACAAAACCTTTGACTCGTCTTGCAAAATCAAACAATCTTCTCAAAACTACATTACCCTTGCTCAAAAGCAAACACTGCTTTCAGATCACGCATCAAGGTAGTCGGTACATAAACACTACTGAGCAGTCATTACACACTATAGTAAGATACTGAAAACAAAAACTGGCATGTAGACAAACGTTTACTTTGAACGCTATCTTTTGCATGTTGAGCTGCAAAATTGGAAACTAAAAGACTATAATGAAAACAAATAAAAAAATATTGCATGCCAAAAATGTTTGCATACAATTATACTAAACTGATATGTAATGTTTGCAGTATTCAGTATTCCATAAGTTACTGTAAAGGACAAGTAAAAAAATCCAAATGAGGTACATTACAGTAAAATGTTGTGCAACTGCCAAGCCAGAGTCAAGGAAGAATATTCATTCTGCCTCATCACCATGTCTAAGGGCTGGATCAGGGCAGGGAACATCACAGGAAATCCTCTCCCTTGCTGGCTGATGCAGGACGAATCCTCTGTGCGACCCATTTGTACCTTGACATCGAAATTCAACCCACCTACGGCCCTTGCATTCTCATCCGGCACGTATTCCGTGTTCAAGTCACCCTTCGGTTTCTTCTCATGTTTAGAAACGTGTGTGAATAGTCTTGAATCACCGTGTTTAAATGATTAAACTGTGTGCAAGCTGTGCTTCACTTCTGCGACCCGTGTTTTTGCATTAAAGTTCACCACGGTGCAAAATGTGTTTTGATGAATGAGAACGTGTTTAGAGTTTTGCAAAAAGGGTGATTCAGATCTACGTCTAACTAGATTGTGTCTAACTAGGTGACCAAAGGAGTGACTGATTCAATAAATGAGTTTTGGCAGCTGGCGGTTTTGTTCCAAGAATGAGGTTTAGTGTTTTTGCTATTCAGAAAATCCGTAAGGTACTAATTAATCAATTTTGCAACAAATTTAGGAAAACCCTCACAAACTTTCACAATTTGTCAGGAGTGCTTGTCGTTTTTACCTTTATATTTTGGTGCCATGTGTCCCTGTGTGAGGGACTCGGAGGAGACTGGCTGCAGGAGGTGTCATGCATGCCTAACCGCGTAACAATCCTTGCAACCCAGAAGTTTTCCCCCTCCCTTGGAGTATAAGAGGATACAAGGAAGCTGAAACATGACTTAAACATGAACTGAGAGCCCTTCTGAGTGTGAGAGGTGCAGGCAGTGACGTACCTTAAAATTCTGCACCCCCTGACATAATGTAACCTTGCCCCCCCCCCATCCAATTTTATGTATCCAAGGACCCTGTCAGGTCCTGGGCCCCCTGAATCTGCCAGTGTATCCAGGCCCTCTGACACCCCATGGTGCAGGTATGGGAACTTGCGTGCTACTGTTCCATGCCGCTCCCTGGTCACTACGTGTGTGTGTGTGCGTGTACGCACCCGTGGTTAGCCGCCCCTTGCCCACCGCCCGCCTCCCAAGCCTGCCACGCCCGCAGGTGAGATCCGTATGCCCACTTTGAGTCGGCGGTAAACCCACACCGGCGTGCCGGGGGTTGGGGGTCATGACCCACGCGCTGCCACTGAATGGCACATTGAGAAGCCGTCACAAAGAGCACTTTCACATTCCCGGTGCGCAGCTGAAAGGTCTGTTTATGTTGGGATTCCTGCAGCTGGAGAGCGAGAGTTGAAAGGGTGGTGTGGGTTTAGCCACTGCTTAGCTGGGCCTCCTGGGAAGGCGGGGGGGGTGCACTGCCGTGGATGCAAAATATTCAGCCAATCAATGTGTAGGCGGCCTCAGAGGGATTGGGGGTTACCTTTTCAAAAGGAGGGGGATTCTGGGTAATCTTCCATTAGTGAGTCATGAGCATCTGACTGGGCTCTTTCTCAGGTAGGTGCTGGTAGTGCGGGGCCTGGCGGCGTGAAGATGAGCCATTTCCATGATAAAACAGGGCCACCGGCTTTTATTCACATTTTTATATATAATTTTTCATTCCCACTCTTGCAGTCACACCTTCTGTTTATTTCTCGTTAAAATATCCTCCACATGATGTCAGCGGAGCCAGACAAAGAGTTCCCCTGTTATCCAGAAAATTAATTACGTTTCCTGTTTAACGAGCATCTTGCCTCAGGGAAGGGGAATTGAGAGAGGAAGGGGGGGCTGGGTGTTTGAAAGATGGAGCCCCGGGGGGGTGGTGGTGTGTGTGACGGTGGTGTACTTGCATAGGGGAGCCCCCGGGGGTACAGCTTCCGTGGACACGGACTCACCTGGACAGAGATGCGCAGGCTCGCGCTGTTTCGCGTTTTTAAAGGGACTGGCGGCTTTACTGGGCGCTGGTACATTATTTCCTTAGCGGCCGATCCGGATCAGTCTGATTATTTAACTCTTTTAAGGTTAAACCGGGCACTGGTGGGAAAAAGAGTAAAGCGATCCTAAATCAATGTAGGGCACTACTGTAATCCGACCACAGCGCTGAAACAGGACGCCTACTTACCGGCGACTTTCACAGATATAGTATAAAGTAGGTTACCGGCCCAGCAGAAAGTTAAGTAGGTCTGGCTCGGCAGAATCACAGCTTGACGTCCCTATTTCTTAATGGGGTTTTGGATTTGTTTAAATTACTTTTAATAATATAATTATTTTGTTGTTATTATGGAGGTCCTGTTATTAAGTGTGACGGTGCGGTAATGCGCAGGGGGGAACACGGTGAAAAATGTTTAGGGGAAAATAAAATAAAAATAAAAGAAACCAGGAAAAGCAAAGGAGAAGCACTTCTACCAGATCTGAGGCTTACCGGCTGCAGTTCTCCAAGACGTCGCTGGCCGGCGCTGCGGAGTGAAGGGGGATCTCCTGTGCTCGTCGGAGGAGGAGACGGAGACCGGGGAGAGCAGGGGAGGAGGCGAAGGAGGGAGCTTGTGCACTTGGAGAAGGTTGAGAAAAAGTCGGACGGGAGAGGAGCCCGCGATCCTAAGAGCTCCTCGTTGTGTTTCTCTTTAATGCGAGCGCCGGAGGGGATCTGCATCCGAACGGAAGTCCGGGATCTTGAACCGCGGTCCCGGTTCGGCCAGCAGAAGGTGCGATCGGAGGAGGGGGTCGGCGAAACGAGGTAAAAGCGCGCAACTCCGGGAGCGCGATCCGGTGCCTGGCCGCAGCCTGCAGAGCCGAGCTGCTGCGGGACTCGCGCGTTCGAGCTTCACCTCCGCGGATCTCACACGTGTGCCAAACGTACTGTATGGGGTAACTGGGGATACGGGAGTCGGGGACGCGGTGCCCGGGGTGCACTGGGGAGCTGCTAGGAGTTTGTACATGTGCAGCTGCGTTCAGCGTGCAAAACGTGGGGTATATGCACCGTAATACCCGTCCCAGCTGGGAATACCTCTCTGTGCCTGTACGCCCCCGTGATACCAATGCATTTGTGCCGTAGTGAATGTTTCTCCGTGTTTGCATGCCGGTGGTTGTGTACTTAGTGGGGATCACACCTAAACGGATTACACGGGCACATCTGTTACGGGCAAGGAGAGAGAATTGACAGGATTTCAGAGTAAATAATTGTACTTTAATCCCTGGGTGGGATTTGTACCTGCATTGTAAGTGGATAAAAGGTATTCAAAATAAAGTACCGAGTGAATCACACGCCTATTAAGGTTTTATGTAATGTATATTTTATTTATATATGCATGTGTGTGTATAATTGAAAATGTGACACTGCTGGGAGACAGATGGTTGTTTTAATTTATAGGGTGATATTTAATTACATATTGGAGGATATATGTGTACATTTATAAAAATATCTTTGTTGTACTATTTATTTTGAAGTGTCTAGTAAACTCTGTTGTGAGTTTGAAGGTGGCAGTGTTGCGAGGGAGGTTGCCTTTTTTGGGTTGCGGTTGCAGGATCGAGGCACCAGCGCGCTGTACTACGGAGACTTTTAAAGGTGAAGGTGGGGTTTTGTGATCCCTTCTTACCTGCATGTTTAAAATGTCGGAATGTAATGTTAACGCTACTCTCTGTCAGCTGCGGCGGTATCGGTGTGTCTGTTAACTTAGCGCCTGCCGCTCCTTGTTCGGACCGCCCTCTGAGTGAGCGACACACCAGCTCGCCTTGTCCCGGTGAGTCGGTCACCCTGGGAGGGTGCAGGAGGTGCTGGTCGCCCGTGTGCGTATGGCAAAGGGAGAGGCCGCCTACTATGCGTACAGCCCACGTCCTGTGTGGGCTGCGTCCTCGCTGCAGAGAGACTCACCGTGTCCTCGTGGTGTAGAAGCTTCCTGTACACAAACAGTGAAATGCTTCAATATGGCTCTATTATAAGCAGTTGTTCAGGACATGCATAACGCCGCCAGTGCCTCCGTCGTTATCCGAGTCTCACGGTGACAGACGTGCATCGCTGTGCATCTGCACACACACTCCATCGGCGAGTCAACCTCCGGGCTGGACTTCCCTCCTTGTTCCGCTGCTCCTGCACGATGGAGGACATCGCAGGTGGACTGAAACTAAGATTCTTGGCCTGATTGTTCATATTTGTGACAAATGAAACACATGAGAGTTAGATAGAGCTGTTATTTACATTTATTTATCGAAAGAGAGACACACTTCATGATGAAGCAGGGGCACACGGTCTCTGGAGCAATTGGGCCCTTGCTCAGGCACGAAATCACTGTGCTGACTCTGGGATTTAAGCCGGCAACCTTCCGATCACAGAAAAAGCATCCTAACCTGCTGGGAGTGGGGGTCGTCCTTTTCTTACTGATCTGTGAGCCCCGAGGGAGGATAGGTGTTCAGTGTTGGCCTGGAGAAGCTGCTGGACTGCAGGGGACACTGGCGGGCCCTGGCAGTCCCCTTCCTGCTGGTTTGGAGTCCGATCTGTGGGGTCCATGTTTCTCTTCCCCCATTTCTGCGTCTGGTGCTGCCCGGTGGTGACATGGGCCCACAAGGTTGGGGAGGCCAAGCAGAGATCGCCACCTAGAGGTCAGGTGTAACTGTAGTGGTGGCGCAGGGGGCCAGCAGTTGGACCTACAGGCTGGAGCTGGCTCATTTTAACCGGACAGCTCAGATATCCAGTCTACCCGCCCAGCGGATTCACATGGGGGGGGCAACGGAAAGAATGTAGTGGTACTGAGAAAAGCAGTAACCACCCCACCCCCTATGCCCCTAACCCAGACTGGAGATACCGTGCTGCCTTCAGCGCTGACCTCTGTGGCTCCTGGGCTTGGGGGGAGGGGGGGACGGACGCAAGGGGTGCGAATCATCATCTCAATACTCCACCTTCTTCTCCCGTTACTGGGGCCGGCTCCTATTCCGTGTGACCGTGCTCTTTTTCACAACGCGCAGGAGGGCTGCGCCAGGAGTCGTGGTGAACGTGATCGCCGCACTCTCCTGTCGTGCATCTCCATGCTCCTCGATGTAGCGGCGCTTCGGTGGCCACTAGGTGGCCTCACTCTGTGGGAGCCATGGGAGGCTTACGTGAAGCCCCGCATCGGCACGGCAGGTCCAACCAGGCGCCCCCCCACCAGTACTGTGGTCGTGTGCGGTTGGACGCCTCATCGCCATTCCGTCTACGTCGGGCTCCAGGTCACATGTTCGTCCCCACCCTCGGCTCACAATGGAGCCGTTCATAAATCAAACGTCGCCCACGCACATTGGGAACCTCTGGCACTTTGGGACGTACAATTCCGCTTAAGCTCCTCCCATGGCTCCGCCATTCGCCTTTCCTGAGGGCTGCTGCCCAGGGAAAGTCTCCGGGTGGGACTATGGACCAGGTCCTGGAGAAAATGGCTCTTAGCTGACGTGTGCTCCGACATGCCAGCCCTGCTGAAATCTGTGCTTGGGATCGCGGTCTGCGTGGTGAGTAGGGCCCCGCCCTGAAGAAATGTACACCCGTATCCCTTTACACTACAAGTGCTATTACACCTGAGTGAAGTGCAGCAGCCTTCCTGTAATCAGGTAAATGATTACACAAATGAGCACACATCTCGCTTTTAAGTTCTGCTGTTTCATTTGGCAGAGGCGCCTATTGCTGTGCCAACCGCGGCGTTTTGTGCGAGAAGACGCTCGATTGCGTGCCGACTGACATTTGCATGGGTTTATGAATCCATTTTTTTTGCGTGCTGCCTTTCAGCTGCTTTGGCTCCTGTCCAGAGTGACTAATCAGCGTGCAGGGACCGAGGCAGGTGTGTGCGAGTGTGTTACAGTTGCATTCTGGGAGCAGAAGGTGTCAGCCCGGGCTGCTGATTGGAGGGTCACCGTGCAGCGCAGAGCTCGTTGAGTCTTCCAGTTTTGGGATCCATGTTCTAGTGGGAACCTTCTCTGCAGGGTCGAGGTGGAGGCTGGAGTCGTCGTAGCTGTATCTTCGTGGGAATGCCGTCTTTCTGGAAACTTATGCTGAAGAGGCAGGGGTCTCTGGTGCTCCATCTCTTGTGCCCACATAGGTGAACAGTGACCACGTTTTATCTTATTATTTTTATCTTATTTATGAATGATAACAAATTGTGGTTTAACCATAATCTACGCTAAACACTTGTAGCTGCCAGCAGCCCTTTGTGCTTCGCCTGCCTGCCGTGGTTTTAAAGAGTGCCGCAGCTTGGTCATGTGACCTCCGTTCAGCCCGAGGTCACCGGCCGCGCCCTAGGCGCCCGTCTGCCTCATGGCAGCCATCTTGCTCCCTGGATGTTGGCCATGCTGAACCTGAGGCCTGGATGATCTTTTGCGGTCCTGTTTCTGCCGGTCAGACCATAACTGTGGGGTCGACAGTAACGTTACCGCCGGTGTTCAGAGGGACACTTCTACCAGCACTGCCTGTATCTCCTACCCCATCTGCAAACATGTGATCCCCACTGTTCCTCAAACCCAATCCTCTCCTGCTCCCTGTGTCATGATCTCAGGATTGCCCCTGAGAGTCACCCCCCCCCCCCCCCAGTCTGCAGTCTAAAGTTTACCACAGGTGCTGCACCCCTCTCGAAATGGTTTTCTGGCTACGGGCTTGGCCCCCCCCCGCCATTAAATCGTGGTGGCTGGTCTCGCAATGGGGCTGTGCTGGTGAGAGGTGCTGTGAATGCCATCAGATTCTCAGTATTAATAATTACACCTCAGGTTCATAGGGAAGCTGCTTTATTACTGCAGTACCCAGTGACCCGAGAGGCCATGACTTATGAAGAAGATCAATTTGGGAAAAACTCACTGGGGGCCTGCAGAGGACACGGGTACGCCCTGGGTGGGACGCCAGCCTCACACACACACAGCTTTGTAATTATATCTTCGTAGGGACCGTCCCTTCATTTCTATGGGCAAAACCCTAATCCCAGTCATGACAACCTTAACCCCTACCCCTAAACAAACAAAATCCAAGACTTTTGATTTTACATTTTTTATGAGATTTGGGGGGACTGAAAAAATGGTCCAATGCTCCTTCTCCAATTCATATTTAGCACTAAAATTTAGCATAAAATGGGATTACGTCATGCCCTGGTCTTGAATATCACAAAAGCTATATGATATGATCCTTGGAGTTCATATTCTTGGCTGTTACATATTAAAGATGTTGGGTTAACACATGTGTGTTTATAAGACATAAATCTGATGTGGCTTATCGGTATGACATCATGCTTGGTAACTAGCATTCCTCCCTCACCTGTTTGTACTCCGACGTGAGAGCAGCCGTCAGGAGACTGGTCCCGGGAGGGGAGGGGAGGGGGGGGGGTTCCCCTTGGCTGACGTGCAGTCACCCGTTTTGTGAGCAGTGTTCAGCGCTCAGTCCACATCACAGCTTGATGGAGCTGCTTTCCCCTTTGTTGTCCTGCCTAAGAGGGTTCACTGCTGCCCCAGGACAGAAACTGTGTGTGTGTGTGTGTGTGTGTGTGTGTGTGTGTGTGTGTGCACGCCTGTGCACGTGCGGGAGGAGTCCGCATCTCACTGTCTACCTGCTTTATCGGTTTCTTATTGGGCCGCATCACTGTAGTTATCTGAAGCAACGTTACTCTGTGCTTCACTCTTACACAGTATGTATTCTGTTACTCAGCTAATCATGCTCACACTGTATGTGATCTATTAGGGGTGTAACAATTCATTGATTCGAATCAATCCATTGATTGTTATGGCCAGAATATGATGTAT